TTTTTTTTTTTTTTTTTTTTGAGGCAGGTCTAAGTTGCCCAGCTAGGCTTGAACTTGTGATCCTCCTGTCTCAGCCTCCTATGGTACTGGGATTATATGCATGTGTAACTGTGCCTGGCTAAAGAAGATAGCTTTCCATAAAGATAGTTTGCTTTCAAGTATTTCCTTTGTGTGTTGGGGGGGCAGTACTGGGATTGAACCTTGGTCCTGTGCATGGTGGGCAGACACTACAACTGAACTGAATCCCAGCCCTAGGTTTTTCCTCTTTTATCTAAAAATTTGCTTGTGTAATGGACCATTCACTCTCAATGTCCTGATAACTGAAGTGTATACAATTTTGTTTAAAAATATCTTTACATAATTTTAAGATAATCAGAGAATGAAGCTTAAAATTGACTTTTGTATCCCTTCTCCAACAGACAGCTGGAAATGATCCGTACTGTTTTGTGGAGTTTCATGAACATCGCCATGCAGCTGCAGCACTAGCTGCTATGAATGGGCGGAAGATAATGGGTAAGGTAAGCTGTCATGATAAAAGGTGACTTGCCTGGGAGTTTTTAAAGTTATTTATGGTTTGCTTTCCTTTTTAGAAGCATTGTATTGTTGGGTATGGTGCCTCATGCCTGTAATCCCAGCGCTCAGGAGGCTTAGGCAGGAGGAACACTGAGTTCGAGGCTAGCTGGATTACATAGTGAGTTCAAGGCCAGCCTGAACTACACAGAAAGAAGACCTTGTCTCTAAAAAACCAAAAAAAGGGCCAGGGATTTAGCTCAGTGGTTCTGCCGCCGGCCTTGAAAGCACAAGGACCTGAGTTCAATCCCTGGTACCAAAAAGAAAAAAAACAAAACAAAACAAAAAAGAAGCATTATATTTACTTTTTAGCAAAAGATCAGTTATGTATCCATATTTCATATTTTAAAAACTGGGATAAGCTTTCAGGAGAGGACAGTTTTTATGTTTGTATTTTCTGACATATTTGTATGATAAAAAATATTTGTTGAATTATTCAATCTTTGATAAAATATCTGGTAACACTGGATAATAATGAGGAACAATAAATGGAAAAAATCTAATGGTTCCTTTGGTAAAACAGGTTATTTGAACATTTTTAGAGATGTATAAAGATTAGGGTATTTCTTTTTTGGGGGCACTGGGGATCAAACTCAGGACCTTGCACTTGTGAGGCAGGGGGTAGAACCACTGAGCTAAGCCCCCGTCCCTAAGATTAGGGTATTTCAAGCTGGGCATATTGCTCAGTGTTCGAGCACTTGACTAGAATGTGCAAGGCCGTGGGTTCAATCCCCAGTACTGATGGGGAGAGACTACAACGTCAAAGTGATCTGCATAAATGTGGGTCAAATGATGGTTATTGAAACTTTGACCAAAACTTCTATTCCTTTGAATATTTTACCTTAAACTAATACCTATTCTGTGTATTCATAGATACAAATCTTGTTTTAAACTTTTATCATTATGGAATATAAATGGAGAAATTTTCTTTTAGGAAGTCAAAGTGAATTGGGCAACAACTCCCAGCAGTCAAAAGAAAGATACAAGCAGTAAGTATATTTTGTACCCTGTGAATATTTGTTTTTATTATACCCAGTAGTTTTATTGTAAAGCATATAAACATCATACATGTTTGCAGTAATATTTTGATCGTTATCCTAAGATATGATTTAATGTGTTTGTGTTAATAAATTTAAGAACAAATCTAATCTTTGTCATCAGGTAGTACCGTTGTCAGCACACAGCGTTCACAAGGTAATTGTGTCTTCTTAAACATAAAATGAAATCTCTTGCAAAGGCTATTCACTAACCACCTGAAGTTTTTTTGTTTGATACTGGGGGGAGGTGGGAGGAGGATATAGCATTTTTGTTTATTTCTTTGGCAGTATTTTCCCCCTTTTTCTCATTGTTCACCACATGTGGCTTGTCCACTATTATGGTGCTAATTCATCTCTCTGACCCCTTGGTAGCAGCTGATTTCTTAGAAATATTTTCACCACCTAAAGGGCAAGATACTCTGCTTCCTTGAGGTCACCTGGGCTTCATACCCAGATCTTCCAGGTGCTCAAGTTGCTCCTGAAACTGTTTCCCAAAAAGCAACATAGTATGTTGCTTAAGACCTGCCAAATAGTGGTAACCTGCTTTACAAATATACTTTGTCAAAATTCATATATATATATATATTGTCCAACAATTTTGCATTTTTAAATGTTTCTTTTTGAGTGTTATCTTTTTAAAAATTGCATATGGGATGATTATTTCTTTCCAATGCTTTTTTAATGGTTCTGATATAAAGTGAAGGGATTACTGTTTTCATTCTGTTGCCTTCAGTCTTAGTTCACTTGCACATGGATTCACATAAACTGAATGATGTAATGTCTGGGCAACCAAAACTGTTGGCTTTTGAGAAAACTGTCAAAATACTTTAACATCAAACTGTTGCAATGCAAGGTATTTCTTTGATTGTTCTTCACAAAATATGGGTAAACCAAGTAGATGGTGTAGCTAGCTTCAGTAACTGTCTTAACTGAGGCAAATCTAGTCTAATGAACTTACAATACCACTATTTTATTTTAGTTGTAAAGCCGTATTATAGTGGTAAAATGAATAAAAGTAAATAATTACTATTAGAATGGCAACTCTTTGGTCTTTTTACAGAACTGAGACTTGTTATATATTAATTTATTCTCATAGACTAGCATAATTGACTATAAATAGAAATGTAACTGAGTTTCCAGTTAGCCTTATCAGTCTTTAGAAGAATCTTTTCTGTATTGTTACCTTTATTTGTTTAAAATTAATAGGAGTTTTATACAGATAGTGTAGTGTTTTATTTATGCTTTATATTATCTATAAATTATCTTAAGAATACTTTATTGCATAGATTGTAGTATTTTCCAAATTCTGACGTTTTATTCTTCTTTTCACTTCCCCTTTTATCCCCTTATAAGATCATTTCCATGTCTTTGTTGGTGATCTCAGTCCAGAAATTACAACTGAAGATATCAAAGCAGCTTTTGCACCATTTGGAAGAATATCGTAAGTAATAGAAGATAAATAAAATATTTGTAATTAGAAAAATTTTATGTAAAAGTAATTTTAAAATAGTTCTGTTGTAAATTTGGGACACTAATTTTAACTCTTGAACATAGTATATTAGATTGTTTAGAGATCATTCAAGATATTACTAGCAAAAGATTATTATCCCATTAAATGAATAAATCTTTAATCTTCAATTATCTTAAAATCCTTTTTCAACAAGCATTAGTTTTTAAGAGACATTTGTTACTGTACATGTTATAGTTTCTTACATAGATACTTTGCTAGTTTGATAATAATCTTCAATAACTTGTGCTTTGACTAAGCAATTATTTGGGCACTTCTATGATACCATGCATTTTGTGCTAATATAACTTAAAAAAACCTTCAGTTCAGTCTGAAAAGCACTTCTTAAATGTTACTTCCTAGGTTTTGTCTTTTAAAAAACATGTTAACAAAAATAGTGCCTTATAGTTTTTGTAAATCACTGTCTTGCTTGCATTTGATATTAATCATACATGTAGGCTCTTTCTGAGTGTCTTTATTCAAGGTAGCATTCATCATAGAAGAACTGTAATATTTTGAAAAGCATGCCATAGTAGAGAAAGAATAATTTTTAAAATAATATTTAGGAGTAATTGTTGAATTTAGAAAAAAAATTTTAGGGTTTCTGGTTGCTTTTTATTATTTTAGCTAGAAGAGTAGTAAAGAAAGTGCTAGTTGTGGTTTGGGTTGAACAGACCAACAGCAAAAACGAGGAGTTGAGGATGGTGGAAAGTAAATGCCTGTAGAAGTGATGATGAGTTTTAGGAGTTTTCTTTTGAAGAGTTGTTCATTGGTAATACTATGAAAATGCATAGGGACCAAGGAGTGACCAACTTTAAAAATAGTCACAAAATTGGAGTTTATAAATGGACTCTTCTGTTAGATGAGATTTGTCTTCGTGAGAACTAATTAGAAAATAAAGTTTTAATTTCTTGGTTCTCTTTTATCTGCTTTTGTGTTTCGGTAATGGTCAGCTTGTTTTTAGTTACCTAGACTTGAATATTTGGCTGCTCAGGGGTTCTATAAGTCCCTCTATGCCAAACTTTGAATGCTTTCATTTTGTTGTGCAGAATCTTTATATTAAGTTTCATGCAATCCTCAGAGTAGTCACAGGACCATAAGGGATTAAGAACCCCATTGTAGATCTTTGCTGCTGCTTTTTCAGAGAATATTTAAGGAGAAGTAAGAGTTGATTATATTTCTGGACTGACATTTCTTGTGAGCTAAATCCCCGGTCCATCCTGAAGCTTTGAAAAGAAAATATTTTAACATTTTAAACAGATTAAGTAGCTATTTTGTTAAATGAATTTTGATTTAAGTAGCTTTTCTTAAAGTGGGAATTTTATTTTGGGATTGTACAAAGATTGTGTAGTAATTGGAGAGTTTAAGTTAAATAACCTAATTTTAGCAACTTGATTATTTTAATCATGGATCGATAATTTCTTTTTGTTAAATGCAGTATATTGGTATGGTTTTTAGTCTGAATTTTCTTGTGGTCTCACAGTTACTGATGTATGCATTATTTTTTTTCTTGGTAAAGCTTTGCTTTAAATTTTATCATTTTTAATTGAGGTAGTATATATGTATAATGTCTGAGTTTTAGACCATGCAAGGCGTTAGGTTTCCTAAATTTAAAAGAACCATTTGGCAATGGATAGCATATTTTTCTGATTTTTACAATTGTTGTTGTTAGTGGAGATAAATTGACAGTTATATGTTGAACGGGGTTCTCATTATAGTTAGATATTCTTTATAGGGATACTAAAACTGTTTAGTTTACTGAAGATGTTATAATGAATGATGGCCAGTTAAACTATTTAGTATAAAAAAATGCTTTCCCTTTTTTACACAACTTAAAATTTTCTTGTTTCTTAAGTCTAGGGTAACACAGCAAATTTTGGGGTAGAAGTATATCAGCTACCAAATTAAATGCATGTGTACCATATAGATAATTTAAGAAATATTTTTATATATTGAGAAGTGACTTGCATTAATTTTCCCTTTTCACCAGCACCTCCTTGTCATTTTGACTGCACTTAATAAATCACCCCTAAATTAGTCTAAAATATGCTTATGTATATTTTAATATAAAATTACATTGCATGGCTTTCTGACTTGGGTTTTTGTTGTAAAAGTGCCTGTTTTGTTCATGTGTCCTGAGAGAACAAGCATTGTGACATACGTGGCTAACTTAAAAGCAGATTGCCTGTGAAGCACAATTTGAGTCCAATTTTTTGAGGTATGGAGTTTTAGCTATCATGGCTGGGTTTTTACTCAATCTCAAATAATAGGGCTCTGGTTATTTTGCAGAGTGTCTCTGAAGAATGGACAGAATTGCCCTGGCTAACTACAAGCTACGGTTCACAGTGGATAAATGTTGGCGTGCTTTTTTACTTTCTGATTTTTTTAAATTTCGCTTTTATTATCTGTAGTTTCCAATCAATCTTAATATGAATGCTATTATAAAATTCAGTATAAAATCTTTCTTATATAACTTAAAACTAAAGTGTATATCTAGTGTTTTTCTTCAATGATTTAACGTTTCTGAAATATCAAGTTTTCACTTTACCCTAGCCCAAATGGGTGTATAGATTGATTTGAGAAAATGAAATAATTTAATTAGTTTAGGAAATATATAATTTAATTCTTTTAGTTTCCAATTTTCTATTTTATTTTTTTAATGATTAGGTAGAATATGGTATCAAATAGCAAATTATGAGTTGCATGGTTAAAGAAAGCCATTCATTTATTGTGCCTGGGAAACTTTTAAGTGGTTAAGTAGTAATTCACACGAATAGCTACTTTCACCATGCTTACTATATAAAATGATAAAAAACATTTTGAAGTGGGAGGCAATTTCTTTATAATATGTACATATATTAGAAATTACTGCTGGGCATGGTGGCACATGCCTGTAATCCCAGCACTTGGGAGGCTGAGGCAGGAGAATTACCACACGTTCAAGGCCATCCTGGGCTACGTAGTGAGTTCAAGGCTAGCCTGGAATACATAGTAAGACCCTGTCTCAAAAAAAACTTAAAAAAAAGTTACTGATTTGCATGTCTGTAAAGCCTCATTTGCTAATACATGATAAATCTTATAGTAAAAGGTACATTTTCATTAAAGGCTCACTTTAAATATGGTGAAACATGAAATGAGTTTGTGTATGAAATTCTCACTTTATATCCAGAGGACAGTTAGCAAACCTAAACTTCTGATTGTTTCTGTTTGCAGAGATGCTCGAGTGGTAAAAGACATGGCAACAGGAAAGTCTAAGGGATATGGCTTTGTCTCCTTTTTCAACAAATGGGTGAGCTCAATCAGAAGTGCATGTCTAGTGCTATAAGAGTGAAGAATGGGAACACTGTTTTAATTATTAATTTTTTACATCTACTATTTAATTCATTTCACTGATAATTACATGCTCACTAAGAAGAAGAAGATATCTTCTTGGGCCAGGGATTTAGCTCAGCAGTTCGGTGGCCTGCCTTGCAAGCGCAAGGACCCGAGACTATTGATTTATTCAGCATATATTTAGCACCTGATACATACAAAGTATGGATAAAATGTTTCCTAAACAGAAGATATTTAGATTATCAGTCAAAAGTAGATGTAGGCTGGGGATTTGGGCTTAGTGGTTCCGCCACCTGCCTTGCCAAGTGCAAGGGCCTGAGTTCAATCCCCAGTACCAAAAAAAAAAAAAAAAAAAAAAAAAAAAAAAAAAAAAAAAAAAAAAAAAAAAATAGGTGTTGAAAAATCTTATTTAAGGGGACTGGAGGTATTGCTTAGTAGTATAGCACAGATAGCATTAGCATTTCTGAGACCCTTGGCACAGGCCCTAACAAGGTCAGCCTCAATTATAAGGCAAGACCCTGTCTGAAAAAACAAAATAATTAGGAAAGTACTCTGAATGGTGAGAGCTTTTTAAAAAATTATATATTAATGTATATGAGATATAACCATATTTTTCTTTGATTATTTACCATCAATTTGCATATATTTTAAATTTCTGGTTTTTGCAGAGCAAAGGAAGGATACTGTGGTACTGATTATAGAGAGAATTCCATGTATAAGGTGAAAAGCTGATTTATGTAAAAAACAAAAAGAGGAAATGTATTTGTGTGATATGGATTTTTTTTGTTGGGTTTTTTTGTTTTGTTTTGTTTTGTTTTTTTTTTTTGGTATGGGGTATCAAACTAGGGTCCTTGAGCTTGCAAGGCAGGTGATGGAACCACTGAGCTAAATCCTGGGCCACTCTGTGATGTGTTTTGTGTTATCTAAATATTAGACATGAGGCCTTCATACTGAACTGTATACCATCCTTTTTTTAATCTGGAATTAGAGTGTGTCACCATGCTCAGTGTTGTGTCTTCTTTGTGTTGTAAATATATTGCCAGTTTAAATAACAAAGTGCTTTAAATCTTTCAATATAATAACTGAATATTGAAAGCAGTTAAATGCATTAGGATCACACAAAAATACAAGACTGAAAATAAATTCTTGAGTTTGAATTAGGCTAAAAATTATATACAAGACTGCATAGTGGAACAATTTATATGCACAAATTTTGCAGTATACTTCAAGGTTTCATTAAAACTTGAATTTTATTCTATTATGATTAATGGTTGTATATAGTAAGTACAAAAGCCTTTTGTGTTAGAGTGCCTTAGAATGAGACAGTAAAAGTTTTTTCTTACTTTAATAATTAATGGAGTATTTTGAAAATGATATTATTTCTTGGTAACTCCAGATTAAGTTTATGAACATCATTTGTTGATAGGCTATGATAAATGGACTATATATCTCCTTCTGAGTTAAAATATCTGTGTGCAGCTATGCCAGTGGCCCAAAATGTCATGTTCTTTGTAGTTCTCATGCCTACTTATAGTGACCAAATGTCACCTAATGTCTGATGATTCCTAACTGTGAACTTTTACTAATTGCTCATTATAACAGCTCCCAGACATTTACCTAAAATTTAATATCCAAATCAGAAATTTGTTCTAAAAATCTATATATGGCTAGCAAGTCTTGGCAAAAGCATAAAATTTACTGCAATTGTAACTAAGATGTTCCCAGAGCAACATTACATCTTGTGATCAAGATTGTTTAAATGCATTATGCAATATAGATACTATTTTCTCTGTATATGAAAGTGTGTTTTAAGAAAGTAGAGAAATCTGTAAAGATACTGCATAAGCCTATGAGATTGGGAAAAACCCATATATTTGGATAAAAGTTGGAAATAATAAAAGTCCTTAACAAGTGAAAAAATTCAAGCTCAACTGCATACGTGATGTGTCCTAACTACCAATTATGAGACTTTGTCTCCTGTGAGACAAGAAAATAAAAATTATGACAGTGTAATTTTTTTTTTTTTTTTTTTTTTTTTTGTACCAGGGATCGAACTCAGGGCCTTGCGCTTAGAAGACACATGGTTGTGCCACTGAGCTAAATCCCTGGCCCATGACAGTGTAATTTTACTTGTTATTCTCAGCATAGTATTTTGGGAAGGTAGAAAAATACTTTATACATTGGATTGGTGAACACAGTCTGAGTTCCTTAGAGAATTAATTTTCAGATTCATAGTGTGTGTTCTAGTACAACTTGGGGAATAAGTTATGAGTTAGGATGGACTAGGAACTCATTTTTTCCCATTTGAGATTATGGAATATAGACTTCCGTATAAATTTCATTATTGATGCATATTTCATAGGAACTAGTATCAAATGGTCCTCATTTAGATGTCTCACAAGTATGTTAAATTTGCCGTGTTTTTTTTTTTTTTTCCTGAACTTGAATAGAACTCAGGGGATTTGCAACGATGTACACCCCAGTCCTTTTAGAGTTTTGTTTATTTTGAGACAAGTTCACACTAGATTGCCCAGGCTGGGCTTGAACTTGTGATCCTCTTCCCTTAACCTCCCAGAGTGCTAGGGTTACAGATATGCCCCTCCACTTCCAGCTTAAATTTACCATGTCTTAAACAGAGCTCTTCCATATTTAGACCTGTTCCTCTTCTCCCTCCCAGTCTTGATTTAGTAAAAGGTAGCATCCTTCTAACTTCTCAAGCAAGAACCTAAGAATTACTTTCAATTAGTTCCCCCTTTTCTTACTGTGTCGTCCTCCTACCTCATTCTCCTTTTTAGATTCTATCCACTGCTACCACTAGCCAGCAACACTTTTTTTAAACCTAGAGTATTGCAATAGTCTCATAAAATGTCTTATTCCACTGTCTTCCTGAATCTTTCTCTTCCTAGTACTAAGAATGTCCTTTTGTTTTTGTTTTATGTTGTGTTGTGTTGTTCCAGTACAAGGGATTGAACCCAAGGCCTTATGTATGCTAGGCAAGTATACTCTTAGTACTTACCTACATCTCCAGCCCAGAAAAAAAATCAAATCATGACAATGCCTTATTTAAATTATTTCCATTTCAATATCTGAAGTAGCTCAGTGGTAGAGCACTTACCTAGCATGTGCAAGGCCCTGGGTTCAGTCTCCAGAACAACAAAAAGACAAACAGACCTATGAAAGAACTACATCTTTCTTTACTTGGGTGTGGTGGTACACACTTATACTCACAGGCTTTGGGAGGCTGAGGTCAGTCTTGGCTACATATCAAGACCTTGTTATAAGAAATAAAATCTTTCAGTTCTGTTCACTTACACCCTTTCTTTTAGCTCACTATATTCTACTGAAATTAATCTTCTTTCCATGAACTTCTGATTCTTTCCAAACTTCGCTGCCTTAACACTGAAGTGCTTTTCCATCTTCTGGGGCTTTCTTCCCTATCATTTTGTTCTGTTTTGTTTTTTTTGTTGTTGTTTTTGAGACAGGGTCTCACTATATAGGTGAGACTTACCTGGAACTCAATATGTATCCCAGGCTGGTCTCCAACTCACAGCAATCCTCCTGCCTCAGCCTCCCGAATGCTGGGATTACAGGCATGCACCACCATGCCTGGCAGTTTTGGTTTGGTTTTCTTTTGTTTTGTTTTTGAGACTTCTCTATCATTTTGATTGTTCTAATTTTTACTCCTCTCAGTCTTAAATATCATTTCAAAAATGCTGGGACAGAAGAAAAAAGTTGGGGCTAAAACCCAGTGCTTAATGCTACCACTGAGCTATGTCCCTAGTCCTCAGCTTTTTGTTTCTTTTTTTTTTTTTTTTTTTTTTTTTTTTTTTTTTTTTTTTTTTTTTTTTTTGGTATCAGGGATTGAACTTGGGTCTTTGTGCTTACAAGGCTGGTCACCAAACCGCTGAGCTAAATCCCTGGCCCTTACTAAGCCTTTTGTTTCTATCACCGCATGAATCTTAGTTTGTAATTGTATTTTGCTCCCTAAAAGGATGTAAGAGCCATGAAAGAATCTAAAAGGCTGTATGTCCTTCACTAGTGTATCCCTACCTCTTAACATAGTGCCTAGAACATGGAAAGGACTCAGGATTTATTTGTTGAATGAATAAGAAACCTTATAGTGTGATTAACAAGCTTGTTGGGCTGTGTGAAGTAAGTTTTATTCGTATTAGGCTGAATTATTACATGTACTTTATGCTAGCTACCTCCTTAGGACTTTGGAACTCCAGACTTTTTCAGATGATAAATCACAAGTGGTGCATGCCTGTAATCTCAGCACCGAGGAGGCTGAGGCAGAAGGATCACTTCATGTTTGAGGCCAGCCTGAACCACAGGCCAGACCCTGACACATGCACACATACAAAAATGATAACAAAGGGACTGTTTCCAAATAAAGATAATTTAAAAGCACGATTTCATTTTGGAACTGCTATATAGCGTGTATTTTGTAAAGCACTTTCACTGTAATAACATGTGAAAAGCACCAAGTTTTCTTTACTATTAAAAGTTGAACATCATCTAATAGTGGATTCTTTGTTGTTTCTAATGTTGTGCGGAACAGGATGCCGAAAACGCCATACAACAGATGGGTGGCCAGTGGCTTGGTGGAAGACAAATCAGAACTAACTGGGCAACCCGAAAGCCTCCAGCTCCAAAGAGTACATATGAGTGTAGGTGTATTGGAGAAGAAAAGGAAATGTGGAATTTTGGAGAAAGATACGATAGATTTTAAATGTTAGACCTGGTCCCGGAGACTTATTGCAGAAATAGATGACAAGCAAATCAAGACTACTGTTCAAAAATGTACTTAGTTTTCATTTTTGTAATTTTAAATAATAGATTATATTATCTTTAATGTTAAGTCTCCTCTTAAATAGAGAATACTGGGTAATTTTTTAGACATTCTTGGGGGAAGTTTAATCCTAAACTTGAATGTAATAAGTATTTTGTAAGCATTTTGATCAAGGTAAATACTGCCATTATAAGTAGTACAGTTAATATTGTTTTTCTCCTTCTGAACATTTTATCTAAGGAATTAAAGATACACAACTTTTTCCTTCCCAGCAAACACTAAACAGCTGTCATATGATGAGGTTGTGAGTCAGTCTAGTCCAAGCAACTGTACTGTATACTGTGGAGGTGTTACTTCTGGGCTAACAGGTATGAGAGTTTTACTTGTGGCATGCTGAAATTAATTTTTAAACCAAGAAACTTGGCATTAATAGGATTGTAGTATAACTTACTCTGGTTTCTTGTGTTTTTACTTTTCTAACAGAACAGCTAATGCGCCAGACTTTTTCACCATTTGGACAAATAATGGAAATTCGGGTCTTTCCAGATAAAGGATATTCATTTGTTCGGTAGGGTTGGTTTGGTTTTTTCTTTTTTTACTCTTTGTGGAACTGGGGATTGAATCTAGGCCCTTCACAGTAAACTACATCTGGTCCTTCTTTAATTTTTTTTGAGACAGGATATTGGCTATGTCACTAAATTGACCAGACAGGGCTCAAACTCTCTCACCGCCCAGAGTGCTGGGCTCCTAGTTAATGTGCCACCACATCTACTTAGATTTTTTTTTTCCAAAAATTTTCTCCCCTCAAATAATTTTTGAGTATTTAACTTGGCTATTTTCTTAGGAATTTACCTTGGGTTATGTTTTGTTTTTTCAGCAAGAAATAAAATTATAGTTTCCTTTTTTTTTTTTTTTTTTTTTAAAGTTTCACCAAAAAATTTCACCAAAGTTTTGCCTTAGTGTTTTGTTTTGTTTTTTTTGATAACAGGGATCAAACTTGGGTCCTTGTGTACTTGTAGACAGCGGGTGGAACCACTGAGCAAAATCCCCAGCCTTCACCTTAGTTTTAAAGGAACAAGTCTTTCATTTTAAAAAATGTTTCATTCATAAATATTTTAAAATAATGTATATTGGTGATTCTTAATATTGTTTCCAATAGGTTCAATTCCCATGAAAGTGCAGCACATGCAATTGTGTCTGTTAATGGTACTACAATTGAAGGTCATGTTGTGAAATGCTATTGGGGCAAAGAAACTCTTGATATGATAAATCCCGTGCAACAGGTGAGCTGCTCCTTTGGAAAATAATTTCGGGGAAAATAATGTTTATTTATTTTACTTTACTTTTTTGGTACTGGGGATTGAACTCAGGACTTTGCACTTGTGCGTCAGATGGCAGAACCACTGAGCTAAATCCCCAGCCCAATAATGTTTATTTGTTTGTTTTGTTGGTACGGGGATCGAACTTGGGACTTTGTATTAGTGAGGCAGGCAGCAGAACCACTGTGCTAAATCCCCAGCCCCCAATAATGTTTATTTTAAAATAAAGATTATTGATAGTTTTTCTTAATAAGTTTCTAGCTTGATTCATAGGACATAAGAGCTCTTCCGACGTGTATTATAGTTTCAGCGTGGTGTTTCATGGATTGCAGTGCTGACATGAGGAGTATAACCACCTCATTTGACTCATGCTTACTCGGTGGATTTTAAAATCCTCCAACATAGCTAGGTGTGATGGCACACGCCTGTAATCCCAGCACTTGGGAGGCTGAGGCAGGAGGATCGCTGTGAGTTTGAGACCAACCTGGGCTACATAGTGAGTTCCAGGTCAGTTTCAACTACATAGTGAGACCCTGTCTCAAAAAAAAAAAAAAAAAAATCCTCTGACAAATCTATGAAGGTCTTGTCTTTTTTTAATACTTTGTAGATATATTCACATACTAAATGGAGAAATCACAAGCATGTTTGACTTAACTGAATAAAAATAAAGCTATAATAAATGTATTTAGAGGCTTGGCATTTTATTCTAGATTTTGCAGCCTTTTATTTTTTCAGGTTGCTATAGTGGTCAGACAAAGATTGTATGATGCCACAAAGATTGGTGAGTGGAGGATAGAAGTGAGAGTAAGAAAATGCTAACCTATATAGATTTTTTAAATAAACCAACTAGAACAGTAAGTTATCTTTGAACTTTCCCAATCTAAAGGAAATAAATAATCATGTGGATAGATTACCAAACATGTAAACATTGTACTAAATAGTTTTTATCCACTTCCACTGCCTTAAAAAGACTGCCACAAGGGCTAGGAATGTAGCCTTGCCTGTCTGGCAAGTGCAGGTTGCTGAGGGGGGGAAGATTGAGGTTAAATAAACATCTATTGAAAAATGAGCAAAGTAAAACCTAACTAAATAAAATGGTTCAATTCCCAGTACAAAAAAAAAAGTGACTGCCATGTAGAGCATCTTGTAGTTTTAGTTTTTTGTTTGTTTGTTTGTTTGTACCGAGGATCAAACCTTGCACTTGTGAGGCAGGTGGCAGAACCACTGAGCTAAATCCCTGGTTCCTCTTGTAGTATTACAGTAATATAACCTCATTATTTTTGTAGCAATTCCTTACTAAATTATTGTTTATCCTGTCATTTTAATATAATGCTGTCCCTTGTATTTCAGCTGGTTTTGGTATATCAGGGCTGTGTATATACAAACAACTTAAAATAGTACTGAAGTATCTGTTGTAATTTTTTCTAATAGCAGAATCAAATTGGATATCCACAACCTTATGGCCAGTGGGGCCAGTGGTATGGAAATGCACAGCAAATTGGCCAATATATGCCTAATGGTTGGCAGGTACCTGCATATGGAATGTATGGCCAAGCATGGAACCAGCAGGGATTTAAGTAAGCATATTTGATCTTTTCCTTTATTAAACTTTTAAAATACCATAAAGAAATTTTAAATAATCAGGCAATGTGACCTACTATGTATGTATAGTAAAATGTAACTGTAACCTATAAAGGACTTAATTTAGAGTAATTTTTAATTTATAGTTTTTAAAATATTTTGCTTTAGAAATTTGTCTAGAAGCCTGGTGTAGTGATGCACGCCTGTAATTCCTGCACTTGGAAGGCTGAGGCAGGAGGTTCACTGTGAGTTTGAGACCAGCCTAGGCCACATAGCAAGATCTTGTCTCAAAAAGAAATTTTTTTTTTTTTTTCGCCTTGAACTATTTTGCCTTGAAGTATAATCAGGGTCATATAAATTTTAGTAATGTCTGGTAATAAATGGAGTAAGTTTTTGTGAGAAAGTAAGTGCTTAATAATTGTTAAGCCTTTCACATGACTAGTGGTTCCATTAGCTATTCTTGGATACACATATTTTCTTCAAGGGAAGAGCATTTCTTAGCATTTAATGAACCTCACTCTGTATGGCTTCTGGCAGCCGGGACATGAACGCACTCAGTTTTCTCCTGGATGGCAAGCTTCTTTATACATCCTGAATTACACCATTTTACTTAAATTTCTGAAAAACATACAGGAAATAAAAATACTTTGCAGGTTAAAAATTACCTTATATTTGTATGGTAAAATTTGTGAATTTACATATACTAATAATTGTTAATTTATTCAAGTAACATAATTGCTAGTTCTATTATATTTGTTGATGGAGTTTCTTTCGGACAGAAGCTTGTTCATCGCATGTCCAACTCGGATGAGGATGGACAGTTTTCCTTTCTGAGATGCGAGCTTTCCTGAGTTCAAAGGGAATAAATATAATAAGTTAAGGGTATTTACTTAGCTGTATATCTCACAAAATTGAACTGCCTTAATGAAATGTGTGGGAATGCTTGTTTTCAAAAGAAAAAGCTTTTATTTATGCTATTGCTTTCCCTGGCATAGCAGTTTTTCTTATAAAGTGTATTTCCCATTCCTTATGTATTTGTTATTTGTCCTTGGCATCGCATTGTTTTAACCAGTGCATTTCCTTGCCCTTCTGCTTCTTTCACATTCTCTCCCAGTCAGACACAGTCTTCTGCGCCTTGGATGGGACCAAATTACGGAGTACAGCCACCTCAGGGGCAGAATGGCAGCATGTTGCCTAATCAGCCTGCGGGATATCGAGTGGCGGGGTATGAAACCCAGTGAAAAAGGACTCCAAAATCTAAAGCCAGTGGCTTGAGGCTACAGGGAGTGTAGTGAAGCCGTTGTTTACTTAAAGATTTATCAAATCAGTCAGTGCAAATATCAGATACAATGTATTTATTTAAAAGATTCATTTTTAATCATGAAATTACTTATCATCCACATTGTTTTAAAAAGAAACAAGATGCTGGATGTCTGCCAATTTTTGCCTTCATTACCTGTTTTGATAAAGTTTCTCAGATCCTTGTTTCAAATACAAATGCAGGGATTGCTGCCACTTTTTTAAAAAAAGTAAGAGGCAGAAAATTGCACAATGTTGAACTTTTTTCCACTATTGTAGTATACAGTTCTAGTTTGCATTCCTGACATGATTTAAAACATGTAATATAAAGATGTTAAAAAAAAAAAAAAAAAAAAAAAAAAAAAAAAAAAAAAAAAAAAAAACAGAAAAAGAAAAACCAAAACTGTGCAGTCTTGAAGTTCTTTGTAACCTTCAGCTTCTGCACAATTCTGTTTTAGGTTTTTAAAAATGCATTGAGTAATACCATCTCCATTGTTATCCCTTTAGGGTTTTTAAATATAAATTATTAGATTTACATCATTTTGTATTTACATTTTTCAGAAATTTGTCTTGCCTTATTAAAGTTCTGTAAAATACACTTAAATTGAAAAAAATGATGTTCACTTAGATTGAAGAATTTTCTCAGATGGATTGATAATTGCATTCATTCATCTTGTTTTATATGAGAAGGTGCCTCAAGAATTCCCTGTTGGATTTGTTTAAAAGGATTTTTATCTTCTGTGATAAACTGTACTGTGTACCAGGAACTGTAAAAACAAACCTTGTTACTAAAGAAAATCTGAAATGTGATAAGTTCTTATGCCATGTTACTTTCATGTGTCAACTTCTACATTTACATGTATTATTTCATTATGTAAAATGTTTTAGCAATTTAATATTTTGCACAGTTAGCAAACTTTGTATGTCATCATGGAGGCTTGACATGAGATTTACAAATTTTGTTTGCATGTGAATATCAAATACACATTTTGATAGTTTTTGAGTACAAAGTCATCTGCTCTTGTTTTTCAAGAATTTTGAGACACAAAGTTGTATGTAAAGGAATATATTGATTTTCCATTTTCTAGTTAGATTTACTTCAAAAGAGTAAATCAAGTGAATTTTAACGTGTACAAATAAGTGGTAGCTGTGAAATTGTAGAATATCCTTATGTCAGGCTTGGGGTTCATTGTAAACTCCAGAATTAACCTAAAGGACCAGCCAGGCAAAGCATTTTTTAAATGTTCAGAGGCCAAAAAATAAACAAAAAAACTTTAAAATCCTACCTCCTTAAAACAGCCTTCAAAGAAGAAAATCCTCAGTGCAATCATCATTTTTATTCTTTTGGTACCTGTTTTCTTGGAGTTCCCAATGGGAAAGGACGGGGTAGCTCCAAGCTTTAAGAGGTTTACTCTTTGATGGCATTGTTCTAGCTTTCAAATTTCTAGTACATTTCAGAGTCTCTTAGAAGAGTTGTGGGAGACTGTTTGGTTTGGTTTGGTTTTCAGTGAAGGTCAGAAACCATCTTCTTCCTTAACTCACAGAGACAAAGGGTCCCCAGTATATGTATTTGAGCAGTTGGTGGTTTTTAAGACCTTCAGAGAGCTCCCAGCAATTTACTTAACAACAGCAACAAAGTCTTGTGAAATCTTAGAGCTTCCTGGCCTATATCTTCCAGGTAGGAGCAAAGGATTCTAAGCTGGTCTCTAAGCCAATACCTTTTAATTCAGAGCTCAGGAAAGACCTATCTTTGGAGCTCAAGTCTATGCAGTTATACTGATGTTTCATTAAGTCACTGTGTATTTTTAAGTGTTGATACATTAAAAGTTGCTTTGTGGAGGGCCGGGAATTTAGCTCAGTGGTTCCGCCACCTGCCCCCCAAGCGCAAGATCCCAAGTTTGATTCCCAGTGCCAAAAAAAAAAAAAAACAATAAAATTGCTTTGTGGGAGATGAATACAATTTTGAAATACATGGAAATTTTATTTCCTTGTTAACTTCTACAAATCAGGGCATGCAACCAAAAGCAGCTTAAATGAAATACTCAAATAAATATCAGGAAGCTATTTTTAGGCTCTTCTGACTTACATTTCTATTTTAGGACCCTCATTTTTTCTCTTAACAAACAAAAAAAGATTTTAATTACTATATAGCTCATGGACTGCAGGGTGAATTGTTGGAGGAAAGTAATTTAATCTGAATAAAAGTACAGTTTTCATTTTCACTATCTCAAGTAATAACAGTTTTTATTAGTGAGTATATTTTCTTACTGTATAAATCTTAAAATGTACATTGACTACTTTTTGAAAAGTGGTACCAGTATTCATGATGAAAAGGTTACTACTGAACAACTGCACATTTCAGAAACATTGAAAACTTGATTTAAATCTTAATGTTAGAGCAAATCATTTAAAGATTTTCAGTCTAAAAAATTATACTGGTGGGGCCAGGGATTTAGCTCAGTGGTTCCGCTGCCTGCCTGCCTTGCCAAGCACAAGGACCCGAGTTCAATCCCTGGTACAAAAAAAAAAATACTGGTATTAGTATCAGGTAAGGAAATTAAAGTTCTTAAAGTGATTTCATTCTTTGCAATATGCATTCAGATTTTACTTTCTGGTACTGTAAAGAACCAAAAGTGATTCACTTTTAAATGGGTCATTAATCCAGAATTCTTTACCCTGTTTGGATATTAAAGTTCCTTTATGTTTTCTATAACCTGTGGGTTCTTCTTGCAGTGATTATTTGTGTGAGAATTTTGTTCACTTTGGTCTAGCAATATTGTTATTTGTTCTGATATTTATATACTTTAAATCTTATTCTGGAAACCATGGTTTACATCCGGTTACTGCTTAATACTACGAAGAATTTGCATTTTGCATACTTAGTTACAAAACCAGTCTCATTTTCCTTATTAATATCATCTCTCTTTTGAAAATGAGATTCACATTTTACTTTTCATTCTTTTTTATCCCTAGGCTTGCTCATATTCCTTCTATATGTGCATTATCGTTCTGCTCCACTTTAAAAGCAGTTGAAAAGTCCTAGGCATTTACAAAGTTGTTAGATTTACTTAGAAATGTAGTGTGCTCCTGAGGTTACAGTTAAATTAGAAAAACAAAATGTGTTTATAGGAAGTGAAAAAGCAAACCTTTTAAATGAGAGAGTGATGATTTCTAAGAGCAATTACAGTGGTACTTTGGTTCACAATTAATTTTTTCCATGATTCTCATCACAGAATTTATTCTCCTGTTCTAGTTGCACTCAAATTGTAAGGAAATTGTGTGAGTCCTGGAAAGAATTAATTTTGTGATCTGAGGTACCACTGTATTTCTTGGTCCATTTTCTTCCAATCCTTGTTGTGTTTAGAATTTGAAGAACATAGCTCTAAAACTGTGAATTTTAATTTAAGAGCCTTAATTAAAATGAGTATGTCTCAATTAAATAGGGTATTTTTCCCCTTGTTTCTTTTGAAACTTCCATCTATGGCAAGAGATTAACCAAAGGTGAAACCTTACCAGTATTTATAGTAGAATTCCTTGAGTGACCTTCAGTTATTAAAAATTTCTGCTCTATTCAGTTGTCTGCATCACTATCTTCAGAGAAGAGATTTTTGCCAAAGTTAAAGCAGTATTTATGCCCTCTGAAGTTGGAGGCTAAAGTTACTCTCACAGTAATCCAACTATAAAAGGAAGCAGTAGACTTCTTTACTAGGGCTATGCTGTCTAGAAAATAGGGTCAGATCATCATATTTATTATATAAATGAGTTTTCTGGCTCCTTACAGGTGTACAGCTCTAAAATGCCAATAGCCAGGGCCAGGGATTTAGCTCAGTGGTTCTGCCGTCTGCCTCACAAGCACAAGGATCCAAGTTTAGTCCCTGGTACCAAAAAATAAAATACCAGCAGCCAAGATGTGTGCCTAATTAGCAAGATGTAGAAAGATGCTTCTGTGGTAACACTCCTGAGAGAGAAGATAGGTTCTCACCAGTTTGGCAGCACCTGCCTGGCTTGGTAATGCTTGGGAGGCTTAAGCAGTGAAGTAGGGGGATAACCAGGAAGGAGTTTGAGGCCAGCCTGAGCTACACGGTGAGTTCAAGAACAGCCTGGACTTCTTAGTAAGACCTTTCAAACAAACCACGACCCGCCACCAATCTCCCTACAATTAGTGTGTCAAACAGTAAGGCCTGCCCAGGTACACAAATCTTCCAAACAGGTGTGTGCGTGTGTGCACGCGCATGCTTTTTTGAGACAGCATCTCACTGTGTAGTTGAGACTGACCTGGAACTCACTATGTAGCCGAGGTTGGTCTTGAACTCACAGTGATCCTCCTGCCTCAACCTCCCAAGTGCTGGGATTACAGGCGTGCGCCCCCATGCCTGGCTTCAAACAGTTTTTTAGTGCTTAAGTTTTTAATAGAGACAACCAAATAACCACCACAAAATTGAGGGGAAAAATCATTTTAGCTCTATACAAAAAGCAACTCTTAAAAATCAGGACATTTCAAATAATAAACTCAGATAACTGTTCAGGAAATTAGAGCAGTATGCTAGTAAAAGTAAAAATAATGGATAAATCAGTGAGAATATTAAAAGACCAGTATCTTAGAAATCAAAAGTGAAGGAAAGACAAAGTTGGATCAATTCGGGAAGCTTACTACACAACAAATCAGATTCCAAGAAAAGAATTTTGTAGTACTAGGGATTGAACTCGGGATCTTCATACTGAGTGGTAATCTCCAGCCCTTTAATTTTTCACTTTGAAACTGATTTCAGTAAGGTGCTGAATTGCCTGACCTTCAACTTTTGGTCCTCCTGCCTCAGCCTCTCAGAGGGCTAGAGTTACAGATGTATATTAATCATGCCTAGCCTGGAGGGGAAATTAACAAAATAGGGATATGGGTGGAATTTTTTTAAAAACAAGAACATCTACCTGGTGAGTTTCAAGATCATAAAAAGGCTATTATTGACTTAGGACAATAAAGACTCATACCACCATGAAACTTCAGAACACCAGAAACAGTCTTCTAAAAGTTGCCAAGTGACAGATGACACTGGCTTTAGAGTGTAATCAGCAGTGTTGAAAAGTAGGAGCCTGTGGGGTGCTGCCTTCAAAGGTTTGTGTGAATTATGTAATCCGATTAATTATATTGTCATGGATGACAAAAGGCTCTTGAATATGCAAGTTCTCTAATCTTCATATATTGATTCTTTAAAAGAGACTAGGCACACTCTTACATTGACAACACATCTGAAATCCCAGCTACTTGGGTACAGGCAGGAGGGTTATGTGTCTGAGGCCAACCAGGACAATTTAGTGAGACCCTGTCTCAAATATAAAGCAAAGAACAGCAGTCAGCCAGG